AAAAATCCAAGAGGAACAGGTCTGGAATCTTTTGTCCAGACAAAATGATGCTTCAAGAACAGTTTTTAATTTTGTTTCTTAAGAAACAAACAAAACCACTCTCAAACCCCAAAACCACCCCMCCAAAACAAAAACAYATGGAGACACACTGGCYACAAAAGGGTGGAAAACCATAATCGAGTAGAAGCCATGCTTCCAGGACTTTACTGATTTGTCAATCAAAGMCAATTTCCTTTCATAGGCTCATTTCATGGCACATCAGCCACCACTTCCTTGAGCTTCAGTAAGCAACATGAGGTGCTCTGACTTGAGCTACTGAACACTGTCTTTTCACAAGTCAGCTTAATTCTCTCTCAAAGAACATCAGAGCTACATTCTTCACAGCATCTGACTCTTACTGCTGCCAGGGGGAAGTTAGGCCAGCTTGAAAAAGAAAAACATCAGCCAACATCGCTGTCAAAAGAAGAGGAAGCGGCTGAAAGATAGAGCCAGTGTCAAAGGGGCCCCTGTGAAATGCYTTGGGTGTGTGGGTACATCTGCAATCCAAACAAAGGGAGCTTCATTCGGCTGGGAGTGAGGCAGCAATAGCTATTGAACAGCTGAGCTGTGTGACTGTCATTGGATGGGTTTCTAAAGCTCGCACAGCTTCRTAATTGATGAAAGAAATGCAGGTAGAGTGGTGTAACACTGAAGGGTCTTTACTATCGTCCAAAATCTATTATTACTATAATGGTAATTTTCCAGCATCAGCACGATTCTTACATTTTCCAGCTGTCCCAGAGGAAACAAAAACTCGTGGGCTGCCAAACCTTAWTGAGATTGAGTTTGACCACACTAATGTAACACTGAGCTTCATACTGAGAAAATTTTGGGTTAAGCAAACAGCAATGTGTTGTGTTAGYATTTAAGTATCAATGCAATGTAGTAACTAAATCTATTCAGAAGAAAACAACTGACAATTCAAATGTTGATTTTTGTGAATTACATTGATTTCAGTGAAAGCAATAATCATCTGCATGGTATTTTTAGAAAATAAGTGGAAAAAGTTAGTAATCAAAAGAACACATTCTGTGATCACACTAATCTGTTCTGCTTTTCACATGACACTTCCTGGCATAGTAGACTCTGATTATATTAAAAATCATAGGACAATTGGAAAGATTTTTTTTTTTATAAAGCAAGAAGCCTCTCCAGAACAGATTATATGTAGGACTTAAGGGTTTGATTTTTTTAATCTGGATTTCTTGGAAAGAACAAAAGGCTGGACATTCAGTTATATAAGACTTACATACTTATACTTTTCTGCTTTTCAGTAGTTTGCCATCATTTACACTCTTAAAGTCAGTCAATTATGCAAAGTAGACAGATGCGTTTGTGCACCAGGATGCAGAACTAYACAGAGGTCATAAAAATACTGTGATGAGTGTTAATACTCTGGGAAGAGTAACACAAAAACAAAAATGCTTCTAAAATTATGATTCTCACGTGACTAAAATATAAACTTCCGTTCTATCCTTCTGGATGCTATAAATAATCTTCATGCCTCTTTTATGTTTATTGGTCACCTCCCTACACAACAAATCTAGGAAGGTGGATTGCTTATCAAAATACAATACAACAGTGAGGGATGATTTGAACATTTAGACTTCCCCAGACCACAGYGGTATGACAATCTGTTGGTAAGATATTCACATCCTCAGGGGACAAGTTTATTAGTGCTCAGTGTCTCAAAATAAAAAACAAAAGGCAATCTAAATGTCCAGGCCCAAACTGAAGTCAGCAAAGCAATTTTCTTTGTTTGCTAAACCATCACCTTCAGATCCCTTATGCAAGTGAAATACAATAGGAAAGGTCACAAAGCAACCTTCAGATTCAGCGAGAAAATATCTCAGGAATTCAAAAACTAAGTCAGAATGATCTTAAGACTGAAAATTTACTCCAAAAATGTCTGCAAAAAGGCTGAATCAGTTATATCKTCAGCATGTGCAGTATGGGTTACTTATACCAAAGTAACATAAAGATGTGACTGCAACATATGATCCAAAATATGTATTTGAAAGCTATGTGGATTCACTGGAGCAGGATGAAATAGGCATTCCAATCAAATTTAAAAACCCTAAGTGTAAGTAGCACATAATAGCATTTTAAGAATAGAGAATAATGAGAAAGAATCACATAAGAGCCACTGAATAGCGGAACAATTAATACTGACTTCAGTAATTTTGAGGTCCAGTTTGAAGAAAGAAAAAAAGCATCAAAGCAAACAGTCTTTGTAGAGTAGTTTGCACAGCAGGGAAACTGTAATTGYTCCTAGTAACATTCCAGCAAAGCTATGTTAGAGGACATTACAAGCTGCAAAGAAAAGCTTTCACAAGGTGAGAAATGCTRGGATGAAAGCAGTCTACACTTAATTCAATCCCTTGTGCAGGTATGCTAAAATAGGTCAGTTAAAGCCACATATACAATTTTTACATGCAAAATTAACTGCACAGAGAAGATGGTAGCACAGAAATGCTATTTATTCAATAAACCACTTTCCTCAATTTTAAAAAAGAGATCTTGCAACATGGCAAACATTTTTCAAGCCTTGCTGGGGTAACAGATGTTCTTTATCTGCTCCCTAATGCCCATCTATTACCACAAAATGTAACATTATACATMTGTCTCAAAGGAGAGATTTGCTTTCCAGCTGAAACACAACAGATGAATTTTCCTTATCTTTATGAAATGGAGAGGATAAATACACTTAACCTCTCTTCCCCATCTTTCAATTAAGAGAGCTAAAAGACAAATCACAGCTTGTGCATTTTGAGACACTTAGACCCGATTTCTCTGAGAAGYGGCTGGCTCAGCATTTCTGACATAGCTGGGTGCTCACACTTCGCCAACCACAAGATTTCACATCYAGCATTCAGAAATGAAGAAGACTAAATTGGTGACTACTTTTTAAAGATTTAAGAGGCTTGCCTAAAACTACTGCTTGCAGGCAAGTAATATACGGATTAGTGCCCAAGTACAGCACCGCCTTTCAAACTGAACAGTCTGAACACTCAGACATCACTTTCATCCTGCCCCTTGAACAGTCTGAACACTCAGACATCGCTTTCATCCTGCCCCTTGAACAGTCTGAACACTCAGACATCACTTTCATCCTGCCCCTTTTCACTCACAAATGTGTCAACAACTCACGCCTACCTGTGCCTCCCTCACCATTCCACCCTGCTTCACYCCCAGTGCAGTCTCTCCCTGGGACTTCCAGGAGGCTGTGCCTCTCAAGCAAGGTACAACACTGTATTGAAGTTCACAGCAGAGAACGTGAGCGCAGCAAGGTTGGACTGACACTGCCTATGCAAGCCAAAGCTTTCAAAGCTTTTTATTTGCAACTATCTAATGCATTGTTTTGCTGTAAGCAAATCTTGATTTTCATTAAACAAAAGTTAYCTGGGACATATCAATGCCTCACATCCTCCCTAAAATCTGCACACACTGCAGCAACCACAACCTCTCCACCATGTAAGTGCTCAACTCKGAACTGTTCTTCATACAGCTCTAATTCTTCCCTTCTTTGCTCTCCATTTTTCCTTACACTTAACCCCAGCCTATGTGGCCKAAAAGCAGGACTAATATTTCTTCTCCTACTGCTGCCTGCCAGACAGGATCTTGTTTCCTTCCCATCTGAACTAGAATGTCCCTCCTTCCATAAACCTTTGCCCAAAAGAGGCGTGTATTGCTCTTCGCAGTTCTGGTAAATGGACTGTGTTCATCCAAACCACTGAAGATACACCCTCAGAAGTAGCTGATTATAACTTTGTAAAGTTTATAAGATTGTTAGTTGTTGAAAGGGGTCACTATATATTTTCAAGAGACATCAGAACTTGTATTTCTTCTTGATAGGGAAAACAAGCACTTTTTCAGATTTTCAAACCTTGCAGCCTTTCAGAAGTGAACTTTTCTGGACAAAATRTCTCTATGAGTATGCCCATAAGATAGATATATTAATTAATATCACATCAYGTACATTTATCATATGAATATATAATTATATAGAGTACAAGTAATACATMTAATGAAAATATAACATCACACTAAAATTGTAACAAATTAAATTATGCCTGACAATTCCAGTTGAAGGTCTGGAAGCGACTRTTATAATCCTAAAAGTGGCATTTCCTTAAAGCAGAATTTGTTAAAAAGGGTTGATGGGGGGATGGTGGTGGAAGCAGCCAGCTTTGCATAGGAAAGGCGTGCAATTAAGCACCCTGAAGATTAAAGTAGTTCTGTGGGACCAGTACAAGTTTTAATCTTTCTATGTAAGCTTGAAGCTCSGTATTATGAATTCAGCCTCAAGCTACTTGATGGGTAGGTCTGTCCAAGATCAAAGACAATCAATTCAGTCCTTCAGTCATGAAGTTTTTTTTCAGACTTTTGGTTTAGTTTCTTGGTTTTCTACCCTTAAAAAAAAAAGCAAAACCAAAGTATATTGCTTTACAGAACTTGCAATTTTCTTAGTACAAAGAAATAAGGGGAAAAAAGATGAGATTTAAACATTTTCAGGTGGTTCTAATGACATTCTGCGCATTTAAGCCAATAGGCAAAGATACTTAAAAAAATAAAAACCAATTCTGGCTGGCATCTTCTATGTTCAAAAGAATTGCTCTTCTGAAGAGCATTTCTGAATGAAAACAATGATAATATCTACTTGTAACATATACACTATTACTTCTTTAATGAGCAAAACTCAGTTAAWCTATTGAAAGCTGCTCAAGCTACTAATAAAAATAGCTATAACCAAGAAACCTTTCTATAAAGAAATATTTTAGAGCAGAACTACGCAGTATTGTAACACTGGATAATCTGGAACCCAAAATTTCAGTACAAGCATCTTTAATTTCTAGCACATTAAATATCTCAATAAAAGCTAGACAGATTAAGAAGTAAATAAACACTTCTTTGGATTTACATAGAGTTGTTTGTATTCCATTAACAGGAATAGAACATACCAGATAAAATAAGTAGTTCAATAATTTCTGCATCTCCCAGATAGGCAGCAGCATGTAAAGGGGTCCTTTTCTCATTATCCTGTGGTAAAGGGGGGAAAAAAGGTTTTATTTAAAATAAAAAAAGTATGATTTAGCATTTTGTAGGTTATGAAAAAAACACTGCATAAAAGTTCATCTTCCAAATATTGTACATTTTATATTAAAAAAAAAAAATCATAATTACTCTAAAGACATCAGTCACATTTATTAAGACAAGCATGCTTCTCCCTAAGGAGCTCTAAACACCTACATAGTCAACCACTGTTTTCCTGACACACACAGGATGCTCATCACACATCTTTAGATTAACCCACCACTTATAAATCACTATTCACTTGMCTCCAGAGACAAGAACTTGAGTCTGTCCTACACAGTTAAAAACAGTGTGTCATTSCCATATGCAGCAATTAGTGAGAAACATTTTCTTTGTAAACTTWAAAGCAATTTCAGAAGTTATTATTTTAACAGAAAATAGAAAAGAAGCTAGAGTGTGTAAGGAGAAAAATAGTGGAATCCAATTTCAACTGTTGTGTTTACTATAAACAGGCAAAGAGAAGGTAGAGGTGACATTTATTTTGCAAAAAACCCACTCTGCAAGTAGGGCCCATTTCTTTTAATTAGTTCAAGCTGACCTAAGGTCCTTCTGAAGATACAAGTAAGAGATCTTATTTACCCATGCACAATATATACCAATGAAGATTCTCTTTTGAAAGATTAACACAAARTATCTTTCAACTCTCTCAGGATCAGAGCCAATTTCCCTGCACCAGTTTATAGCTTAATCAGAAAAATAASATCACATCACAGTGAGTGATAAAAATGAACAAGAACCAACCAGTTTGCTCTCTGAGGGAAGGCTGGTGAGAAATCAGAAARGATACAGATAATCAGTCAGCATCCTGGTTTTGGCCTAAGCTCTGCTTGGATGTCAGATCTTTTTAACAGAGTTTCAAATATACTGGGGGTGAAGGATCAAGATTACATGCAGCAAAAAATTTTAAGTGGCAAGACAATTCTATTAATTCAACTGTTGTGTCATGACTATCATAAAATTAACACACATTTTTTTATTGACATTTTATCGTGAAAAGCATTCTTCTCCCTTGCTAGAATAACCTTACTTAGTGAATCCTGACTCGAGAGCTAGCATCACATAATAATAAAATTAGAGTTCATGGCAGGAAAGATCTTACAGCAAAACTGGAGCTGAGACCCAAGAAGTTCTTSTAAAACATGAAAGACAGCTTCAGAATTCAGAACATTCAAACCACCCCCTCTAAGAAAACATCACCACACACACAATCCCTTGCCCTGAACAACCTACTCCCTGTCTASTCCCTGCTCAGAAGGTCAAACCTACACAGTTCACCATATTAGCAATGTTTCCTAGCAAAATTTTCTGAATTGCACACAAASAAGTTCCAAACTGAACAGTGCAAACCTGACACCAATGCACCTTAAGGAATCAATGCTACACTTACCACTAACACCACACAGTACCTCACTAATTTCTTTCYAAGATGTCTGAAATGTAGCTTACACAACTAGGATAATAAAAGACAGGCCCTTGGCACCAAGGACTTGCTATTTTGAAAAGAAAAATTAAAAATAAAAGAAGGGGGAAAGGAAAAAGAAAAACACTAGAAGCACAAAGAAAAAGAAAAGCAAYAAAAGTATTAAATTTGCTTCCCCAGCTGAAAGACAGTAAAGACCAGCCAGCAATGAAAATCTGTTTTCACTCCTCCAGTATGGAAAACAGAGCTCCTAYAGGCAGCTAGCATTGAAGCTTTTTGATAATGCTGAAGAGCCTATGAACCAGAGATTAAGGAACACAGAAGAATGAGTATGGTAGTATATTGTCTGCAATTTCATCACAGAGTTAGAGAAAATACAATGGGCCGTGAGCACATTCTTCTTAGAGACAGCATTTACACAGGAACATAAGCAAAAACTGCATTCCCAACTTAAAAGGGTAAAACATTATTATAAAAATGTTCATCACACTCGTGTTGTTGGTGTCTTTTTGTTTTGTTTGGGCTTTTCGTTTGGTTGGTTTTTTGGTTGTTTTTTTTTTGTTTGTTTGTTTTGGATTTTTTGTTTCTTTTTTTTTGTTAGTTTGTTTTTTGCTGTTGTTTTTGTTTTTGTTATTTTTTCCCCAGTTTTTAGGATCTCAGTGACAGAAGTAATGTAAGTAACCAATGTGATAGAATGAATCAGAAATCTTCCAATAAAACAATGGACAGAATGGAGGTGTTTATCTAGAAATACACTAATCACCAAGCCACAAATATATTTTCCTGAAAGATCCATGGTTCAGAGTTCTGTCAAATTTCAGACATACTTCTCCAAAAAGTCCAACYTCTATTAATGAAAACATTGAGCATCCTGAAACCATCAAGATACAAACATAAAAGCAGCTTAAACACAAGAAACATTTCCACTCCATGCTCCTGTTCCCAAGYTGTGAGTTTCCAGTCATACAAATATTTCAGTTTTGCTGCTCTTAAACTGACAAATTGAAAATACYCAAAGTCCAACTCCCAGTTCTGCWGCAAGGAGTACAAACTGGGAGCATRGGTATGGAGGAGGCTGGAYATGTCCCTGGTCTCTGCAGCATCAGGGCAGCACAGCTGGGACACTCATGGCTTGTCACCTTCTGGGTCAACTCCAGAGCTTGGTATTTCAACAATCCCAAGCCCCAGGGTATCTACTGACCACAAATATTCCACATGCTGAGGGTGCTTTGACAGAAGCCCTGGCCTTTCTTTTCCCTCTAGTTTCACAGCTGGCATTTTTTTTGATGCTTCCAAACTATTTATTTTTAATTTCTCTGTGYAAATGTTCTTATTTTAGTATTTAAAAACCCGGTTTTCACAACTTGTTACAAAAGCAGAAATGTTGCATTCAACAACCTCTCAAGAAGTTTTTACTTCCACTAAAGGAAAATTCTCATTTTGCTGCATTGGAAGCCTTACATTTAATTAATGAATTTTAATAAAAGAAATCTGAGTAAAATTAAAGGGAATTCTGTATTTTAAATGCTACTAAAGTACTGCTGAACAGATCAACTATTTTCTATTAAAAAAAAATTCATGAATAAACTTCATCTACAAATACAAACTACTGCATATAAAGGATTATGTTCAATAATACTATGAAAGCATTCAGCTTTAAAAAGGAACTTTGGAAGCCAACATCTTGCAGCATTGGTGTTCTCATACTAATATAAATACTGGCTCTAACATTCTTCCTTTAATTTCATAAACTTAGACGACTAAAAGAAAAGCTTCAGTAGAGAAGTAATTTTTTATGTAATAGTCACCCTTATACAGAATGAAATATATAACACTGTCGGTACTATTTAATTCCAAATATTGCAGTGTTGCAGCAGTGTTTGACAACACAGAAAAGCAAGTGTTGTGGCACCTTCATCTTCCAATTCAAAAATCCGCAAGGCAAATGGGACTACTACAACWGCAAATCAGCTGTAATGGTGTAATGCAGTGATTGCATTAGGCAGGTTTTACAYAGTTGAAAGAGAACTTTCAACTTTTTAAAACTTGTTGTTTGCAGTAGAAACAACAAAGAAATTTATATTCCCAGTAAGAAACACACAACTTTTATTCCAGGTACTGGTCAATGCTGCCACTAAACTAAAAAGTAGTTAAAGGGCTCAGTACTTAAGGAATCACTTTTCAAAATTATAGTGTTGTGTCATAAAAACACCAGCATCGTATCTATATGTGCCTTTGGGATTGCATTATGTGAAAAATACATAACCCTGCCATTCCCAGTACTTCCATTTATCAAGTTTCCCAAGCACTTCATCTACACAGGAATTTGCATCAGGTGACAACATGAGAAATGCATAGAACAAGGCCTTATGACCCCATTTAAACCAAATTTGGAATAAAGTGACATGGACAGTGGCACTGTGAGATTCTTCATAAACTCTCCTATCCTAAAACAATGGCAATGCCACCTTTGTTTCTTTTTAACTTAACCACAAGCTTGAATTGCTTCACTGCTTATTTCATAGATCAAAATTTATACAAGGAAGAAATCTATGGTAAATTAAAGATGCAGGTTTCAAACCTACCTCTTTTTAAAGTATCCTTTGAGTAAGTGTCCTTTGAGATATAACATTTTATTCCTGGTTTGAGTTCTATCTCTGTAATTGCTTTACAGTAATTCCATACAACTACAGAGAGTTTTAAGGAGCTAGATGCCTTAAAGGCAGATCTCTCAGCCTATGTWTATCCAGTAAGACTGCCATCACACCACTCTATGACTTCCCCAAGAGTATATTATAATRTAACTTCAATTTGCCCTTCAAATAGTTCAACATCTACTGATCTGGAATCTTTGAATTAAAGTACTTTTTGAAAAAACCTGAATGCAACTCCCCCCTTCATAAAAACTCTTTAGCCTATCTGCTCTTCAAAACTAAATTTTGCAATAACACTTTAAAGTACTCTCATTATTTCATGATCTTACACTTACAAAATATCATTTAATAGGTGTTTCGTGCTGTATGACTTGTCATCTGTCTGCTTCTAGTACCATCTGTTCCTGGCAGAAATCAACCCTAAATACATGATCACAAATCTTAAACGAGGTTTAAAGTGCAACACACCCTGCAGTAGCTTTAACAAACATTCTTTTAAAGTGAAACTGGGTTTAAATATAACTCTTAGAGTATTTTTCAATTAAGTTAAGAGAGACAGGACTTTTCAGCCAGGGTGATGGGTTACTCCTGAGGTCAGGGAAACGTGTAWGAACATGATTACAAAGTATTTCCAATTCTTTGATAGTGTCTACTACACCAGAGATCTTTCCCAGTGTGAAGTCCCAGTGCTACACTTGAGAGTCATTAGAACAACAAATTTTTGTTACRTTTGTTACGTTGCTACAGTTTTCAGAACAATAATTTCACCAGTCATAGTAACTAAATTCATTGTTCCTATATAGAAAAAGGAATAGCCAATATGAAAATATTTATCTTTTACATTTCAACTTCTTAAAAGCTTACTTTAGGTA